TTTTCTGCTGAAGGTCAAGCCATCTGCCCCTTCCAATCACCAGCACCCCTCCCGAAGAGCCAAACACAGCTTAAGCAAGCTCTAGGTTTGAATCCCTGAATCCCTTCCTGCCCTGAAGACTCAAGTTAATACTGCATCCTCTTCCCTAAAGAATGATGGGTTTCTTCAAAGTACCTGACTTTTCATTTAACAAGTTAAGATCAGGAATTTATTATTTTAATCTTTTTTTTCCCGGGTGACAAAGGAGGGCAGAAATAATACCTTACGTTGCAAAGCCTTTACTTAACAGTATTTTCATATCTGTAGCTCATGGTCTTCACCATAATCATCCAAAATTGAAAGGTCAGGTCTTTATTTCCATGTTATAATTAAGGAAACTGGGATCCAGAGAAATTGAATCATTTATGCAGGCCATGTGGTTAGGAAATGGTAAACTGGGCCTCAAATCCAGCCATTGGGACTCCACATTCTACATTCTTTAATATCATACTAGCATTTATTGAGTGTCTACTATGTGCCAGGCTTCATGTTGAGGGGTATGATTTATTATCTTATTTAACTGTCCACACGGTCCATTACAAGCAAAACCTCTGACCCATATCCAAATATCTACATCCAAAGTGAGCAGCATTTTGAAGAGTGTGCCTTTCCTGCAGGAGACAGCTGTCCTGGGTGCTGTTTCCAAGGACAGGCACATCTCAAGGTTGACAAGTGGGTGCTGTGCTCTGGGATGGCCTGCAGGGGGCAGGAGTGGGTGCCCTGGCCATAAAAGACCGATGCTTGTGGCACTGTGCCAAGCCCTTTGCATGTATTGTCTCGTTAACTCCTCGGCAGACCCCTGGAGTGAAGGGTTATTAGAGTACCCATTTGATCAATAAAGGAACTGAGGCTCAGAAAGATGAACTGTCCTCAAGATCAGCCAGTAGTTGCTAGGCAGCAGGGCAAGGTTGGAACCCAGGTCTGACTCTGCACTCCAAGCTCTAACCAGGAGTCCGTGTCAGTAGTTCTCAACACTGGCTGCAGGTTAGTTACCTGGATACGCTCATCGGCAATGTCCGGAGCCCACCTGTGCCTGGTGAGCCAGCCTCTCCCGGGAAGCTCCCCGTGGGTCTCATCGGCGGCCAGGGAGGGAAGCTGCTTTACACTGTGCTGCCTGCCTGCGCATGTATCTGCTCATGTCGTGCGTATGAACTGGGTTCCTGGTGAAGCTCGACGCCTCTCCCTATGGGGTCCCTGGTGAGTTCTAGCTTTTCTTTCTTTCTTTTTCTTTTCTTTCTTTTTCTTTTTACTTAAAATTTTTCAATTTTAATTTTCTATTGAATTTATTGGGGTGACATTGGTTAATTAAATCATATAGGTCTCAGGGCTATAATGCTATCATACCTCATTTGCGAGCCCTAGCTTTCCAACAGAATCTGCAGGTGGCCAGTTTCCTGGCTTTGGCCTGCATGTCTTTTCTGATCTTCCTGAATTAAGGTGCATTCCTAGAGTTTGTGCTTCCCCTTCATAGCAAGTAGCTAACGTGTAACGCAGTCAGTGTGTTCCTAGCTGTGTCATAGCTCTTGCCCACCTGCTAGAATGGAAGCTCCTTGAAAGCAGGGACTGTGTTTCTCTTGTTCCCCAGGCTCTCAGGGCCAGGCACAGTGCCTGGCACATAAATACTGGACAAATGGCCCTTCTTTCTCCATTTTAGTAATTGCTTATGGAGTCCTCGTATGTGCCATGCACGTTGCCATGTAGGCATTTTAAGTAAGAGAGAGGAAACCCCATTTTCCAGGCACGGAAACTCAAGCTCTGGAACGTGAGAAGTCAGAAGCCAGCAGAGCCAGCACTCGACCCCAGGCCTGCTGGTCCTCTCATTCATCTCCATTGCTCTTCTTCATGAATGACCCTGACCCCTGACCCCAGATGCTGCTTTAAGCTATTTCCAAGGAACAGGGCTTTGGAGAAGGCACTTAAGTTGGCTGCTTGCTCTTTCAACTCCAACGCCCCAGTGTCCTCACTCCTTTCCACACGTTAGGCGAAACAACTCCCCAGCCTCCTCCATCGGTCCTCGGGGGCACCCCTCCTCCTCCCATTCCCTCTCCGGGAATTCCCAAACACGGCCGCTGAGTAGCCTGATTAAACCCTCCCCATGTCAGTGACATTGTCAGCGGCAGCTCTGTCGACAAGAGCTATCCAGGGACCTCCTTCCCCGGCTCCCTGGGACCAAGCCTCTGGCACCTTCTGGGCAAGGCCTCCCACTCATCGTCCCTTAGGTCTGACCAGCCACTCGAAACGGGGCAGAAAGCCCGGGGAGAGGAGCCCCTCTGGACTGACCGCTCAGGCCTGCGTGTAAGGGTGTTCCTGCCTCTGGCGCCCCCTGCTGGGGAAAGCTGGGTGCCAGGATGGGACTTCCCTCTTGGGGCGTCCGGCTGGGGCTGTAGATCTCCACTGGGACATGAGGCTTGAGATGACTGACATCACAGCTGGAGCCTGGAGAGGAGGCAGAGCCAGTCCCCTCAAAGGTCCATCGTGGGACCTCGAAGGCCGCTTTGCCAAGGGCGGCCTCTCTGCTCCACGCCCCGAGGAAGCTGGTGAGAGATCCTGGCTCGGATTAGGCGGAGGACCACGAGGCCAGTGGCCCTCACTCACACCCTCCAAGACTGCGCCCTGGGACTAACTGCGGTTCGCTCAGCTGAGCTTCCAGCCCCGAGCCTCATCCCATTCCAGGCCGAGGCAGGTGTGGAAAACGAGCGTGATGGAGCCGTCACAACTCCCCCAGGCCCTCAGCTGGAGCTGCCTGCTCAATCCAGCTGCACTTGTCAGGAGGCAGTCCTGTGTTTGTCCCTGTGTACTTCCGTGTGCGCGCATGTGTGTGTGCGCGTGCGTGCGTGTGCTTCCGTGTGCATGTGTGTGCATGTGTGCGTGCGCGTGTGTGTGTGCGTGCGTGTGTGTGTGTGTGTGTGTGAACGCTAGCACACAGCTGGGAGGCACCCTGGCTTTGGGGACCCAAACTAGCCTGATTCCCCTCCTGGGTCTGCTGGCCTAATTCCCAGCTGCAGCTGCCCTTGGGGGCCCCCTCCCCAGGCAGTCTCTCCGCAGCTCTGGCAGCCGGGAGAGGAGGGGCTGCGGGAAGGGGACTGAGCGCTAATCTGGTGGGGCTGCTCTGGCCGCCTTCTCCAGCTCCGCTGCCCTCTGCCAGCAGCTCTCGTGGTGATTTTCTCTGTGCCCTGCACGCTCCCCTCCTGCCTTCACCTCCTTAAGTAAGTGCCCAGAAAGTTACCCCCCCCACACACACACAATCCACCAAAAAAAAAAAAAATCAGCAGGAGCAGGCGGACGGGTGAGAGAGCACGCGCGCAGGAGGGCTCGGTGCTGGAGGAAGAGCGACGCGGGCAGAGGGCAGAGGGAGGCTGGGCTTGGCGGGACCGGACCGAGGTCTCAGCCCCGAGAGCCTCCTCCATGGCCCCCGGGATCCTGAGAGGCGCTGCCTCAGCTTAGGATGGGCAACTGCGTCAAGTCTCCACTGAGAAATCTCTCCAGGAAGGTATGTTCCTGGGCTTCCAAACCTGGGCTGGGGGACTGGGGCATCTTCCCATCGGCCCCAGCGGTTGGGCATGGAGGGGTGGGCATCTGAGGTTTGTCACCTTCCCGTGGGCTCTGCCTAGAGCTGCTGCCCTGTTCTGAGCTCCGGTTACCTCCTGTCACAGTTTCCTATGTCCCAGGCGGTTGGGACTTGGAGCTGCATGGGGGACTGTGTTTGGGAATCGGTACGAGATTTAGGAAAGAGCCACATGGCTGCTGGATGTGAGTGAAAAGCGTGGTCCTTAGGATGTCAGCGGCAGACCCCTTGGCACTGGCAGGACTGGAAGGGGGTTGAGCTTTGACCTGGCTGCTGCTAAGCCTTCTCAGCAGGAGGGCCTCTGACCCCCCTGGTGGTCTCTACACCTGCAGGGCTGCGGGTTGTGAAGTAGATCCTGTTGCCACTGAAAGGAACCAGGTCAGAGAATCTCAACTGGGACCAGGCTGGTTCAGGGACCAGAACTGTCTCCACTGAGAAAGAATGTCGAGTCAGAGGGTCCGCGTGTCACTTCCTGTAGCGGATTTATTGCTCCCACACCAGCACGCTGTCTTTTTGCAAGAATTCCTTTTGGGAAGCAAATAAGCACTGGGCTGGCATCGACAGGGCTTTGCTTCAAGTGCCCTCCGCCCGTGCCCGGCCCTCTGCGGTCAGGCCGTGTAAGACGCTCCTCCATAGCATCTAAAGGAAGCGGCACGATAGGGACGTTTTCCTGCAGGGCTTCCATCTCCCAGACAAGGAGCTTAATTGCCACGGAGGTTAAGTGACACTTACCACGGTCTCAGGTGAGCTAACGGCGCCTCTGCCCCAACCCATCCTCACTCCTCCGTCCGTTTGGCAGCCTCTCCATTTAGGGCACCTCAGGCTTCTCTGCTGCTCATCGGCTTCCTCATGTGGCGATGCTGCTCACCCCCAATCCCTTTTCATCTTTGCTGCTCCTCACACCCTTCTGAGGGGTGGCTGTTTCTTCTGCGCACCCTCCCCCCATCACCTGCTATCTTCTTAGCGGAGTCTTTGTACCAGAAGTGGCCTCCACGCTGTTGCAGAGGAACAGAAACGGATCAGAATTAGTTTAAAGGCCCACAGGGTGAAAGCCCTCCCCTGGCTCTGTCCAGGGCTTGAAGAGGTGAGCTTAAGAATAAGAATTGGCCTTTGGTTCCACCCCACCCACCTTCCTTACAAGCAGGGCTTAGGAATCAGGCTTCTCAGGTCTCCGCTTTCCAGCTGTGTGACTTTGGGTAAGTTAATTGACTTCTCTGGGCCTCAGTTCTTTTGTCCATCAAGTATAAATACTAGTACTCACCTTGCAAGGTGATTGTGAGAACTAAAAGTGTTGTGCACTATATTCACTACCTGGAATATAGTACTCAGCAAATGTTAGCTAGTAACATTGTTGTAATCATAATTTTTCCACTCTGGGTTTTCTGAAAAGAGGGATGGAGGAAAAAGAATATAGGAGAGGTTTTGAGTCCGTGGAGTAAGGTTAAAGATCATGCAACTTACTGCATTTAATTTCATGTTTTTATATTTAAAACATTTTAAAATTCATTTTAGAGAGAAAGAGAGAAACATCGGTTTGTTATTTCACTTATTTATGCATTAATTGGTTGCTTCTTGCATATGCCCTGACCAGGGATCAAACTCGAAACCTTGGCGTATCGGAACAATGCTCTAACCAACTGAGCCACCCGGCCAGGGAAATGTCATGTTTTTTTTATAAAAATAATAATTGCTTTTTCCTGAATATTCACAATGTATCCAACTTGCTATCTTACTTTCTCTTTTCCACCAAATAGTTCTTTTGGCTGAGGCCACACAGACTCTGAGCTGGGATTTAAACCCTGGTCTGTGTGAGTCCAGAGCTGGTATTTTTATTTTTTATTTTTGCCTTTCTCTTCTTCCTGCTGTCAAAAACGTTATTCTTAGATCTCTGAGTCTGCCCTTACACGTCATCTGGTCCAAATTCCCACCGGCTACGGCAGTCGCCTCTCCTACCTCACCAAGTGCTTACTCACTCATCTTCTCCTGAGTCCCTCCGTGTGGGGAGCTCTGACCTGCAGACTCTTGGCCAGCTCTGTTGTTAGAAAGCTGTTAGGTCCTGAGGCCTGCTGGGCCCTCCTGTTGCTAGGCCACACTCAGGAGACGGCCCCTCGGTGCCAGGAGACATGGTCAGCCTGTGGGCCGCTGCCCACTTGGCTTCCTGAGTGGTACTCGGGGAACTGGTAATGGTGAGAGGCGGCCGCTCCAGGCTCTGAGCAGGCAGACCAGGCTGTCGGGTGCCATCACTGGCCGGGTAGAACAGCCGCTTCCCAGGGCAGCGTGGTGCCGGGCAGGATTACCATCCAGAGATGCGGTGGCAATTCCTTGGGCACCACTGGCGCGTTCTCTGTGGGAGCAAATTCTCCATCCTCCTCACTTCTTTCTGATGGGCAGATATTCTCCACTTCCTCTGAGGCCAGAAGTGACTGCCTTCTGCACCAACATCTCTCTAAGCTGCATCCCTGTCACCGTCGTCACCGTGGCAGCTCCGTCTATCCCACCCTCACCATGCTGTAGGCACTATGCAATAGCTCATGGATTCTCACAGGAATCCTGTGCGTCACCATGCCCATGCCCGTGGCATAGAGAAGGAAATGGAGCACAGACAGGTGACGTGACCTGCCCCCGGTCACAAAGCAAGCAGGTGGCAGAGCCGGAGTTGGGAGCCCAAAGTCAGTGTCCAAAAGCACCTATCAGTTCTGCGCCTGCTGCCGTGTCACCTCCTGGGCTGTGTCACTCTGAGCCAAGTGTGTGCGAGTCACTAGGACTAAAGGCTGCCTCTCCACGGGCACCTCCGAAGACTGCGTCCAGGGCTAAGCCACGGGAATCCCAGGCTTCCTGGGGGCCGGCCTCACCAGGAGCGCCCCTCTGGCTCTGCCCTCACTCCAGCTACGTCCCTGAGGCCTGTGTGAGTGTGGGCGAGGCTTTGACCTCACTTGGCATAAATCCGAACGGCCATTGGTCCACCTGACACCCCTTAGGCTCTGAGGCGCCCTGAGCCTGGCCCTATGGCACTCACTGAACTTGGGCCTTGGGCTGAGGTGCTTCACCGTGAATGTGAGCGGCTGCGGTTCCTTCGAGGAACCAGAACACTGTCTCCCTCTGGGCCTGGACGGGGAAGGGAGTCTAGTGTGCAGCCCACAGTGTGGGGCGCTGGGGAGAAGGCACAGGAGAGGACAAGGTGAGATGGGCAGGTTGTTCCGCTTCTCGGCCCGGGGGGCCAGGCCGCCCCGACGTTAGGATCGTCCTCTGGGCGTGGCCTTCATGGAGCTAGAGCAGCGGTTCTCAACCTTCCTAACGCCCCGACCCTTTAATACCGTTCCTCATGTTGTGGTGACGCCCAATTTCATTGTTACAAATGGAACATAGTTAAAGCACAAAACTATATATAATTATATATGTGTTTTCCGATGGTCTTAGGTGACCCCTGTGAAAGGGTCGTTCGACCCCCAAAGGGGTCGCGACCCACAGGTTGAGAACCGCTGAGCTCGAGGAACTGGCAGGAAGAAGAGTGTGGCGAGATGAAGGGTGGGTGTGGGGCCCTGGGCGTCTTGGGGAGCCGGGGTGGGATAGAAAGTTGTGTCTGATGCTGACGCTGATGCTGCCCTGGGGGTGGGGGTGGGGTGGGGGCAGTCTGTGGGCAGCGCTGACTTTTTATAGCTGCATGGGAACCATCAGGGCGGAGACTGGATTGGCCGGGCCTGGGGCACAGCTATATTCGGTAGCAGCGGCCCCTGTCTCAGCCTCAGAGGTCGCAGGCAGGCTGGGCCCGGCAGGGAGCCAGGGAAGGCGGGAGCGGGAGGAGACTTGCTGGTGAGAGAGTCTAGTGTCGAGGTTGCAAATGGTGGGATCCGACCCACAGGCGTGCTTGGTGTCGCCCACGCCCACCAGAAGGTCTCTGGCAACCTTGGGCTGGAGTTCCGTAGTGCTGCTCCTTCAGACAGACTCATGTAGTCCCGGTCTCCCACCTCTTACACCTGCGCTCCCTCTGTTAGCTGTGGCCCCTGTGTTTGCAGCCTCCAGTCTAGCCGAGCCTGCTCGCCACGTTCTGCTCTGATTGTCCTCACTGCATTCCAGTGGGGTCCAGTGGGGACCAGTGGGGTCCGTGGGGGTAGAGTCAGGAGTCAGTTTGGGAGCTTAGCCCCAGGGTTTGTGCTGGGACATTGGGGCAATGTTGGAAAAGGATGTATTCCATTCATCTCTTAATGAAAACTTCCCATTGGTGGGAACAGAAGCCTCCTGCTGCCTGCCTTTCTCTCTGAGGCTTTGCATGCACGTGAGTGTGATTCTAGGTACACGTATGTGTCGTGTGTGTGTGTGTGTGTGTCTGTGTGTGTGTGCGTGCACGCGCGTGCACATGAGCCACCTGGTCACCACCACACCCAGCTCTCCCTGGAGCATCTGCTTCAGTCAAGGATTGGAGACTCCATCTGGCGGACCAATGGACGCTGCCCCCGTGCCTCTGAGGGCTCTCTGAACCTGCTGTTGGACTCCCAGGGTCTGCTCTTGAGGAGCCCCTTCCAGGAGGCCCGCTGGGCAGGGAGCTGATGCCTGCCTCTCTTTTGCATTTGCGTGGTGCTGGCTGAAGATGCGCCAGGAGGAGACTGCCAGCTACAGAGTGGTGCAGGCCGGCGAGGAGGGGCTGGCGGCCAGCGGCGAGCTCCCGGGACCGCTCCTGATGCTGGCCCAGAACGGCGCCATCACGCACACCCTGCTGGGCCCTGCCTGCATCTTCCTGCGCAAGGGCTTCGCTGAGAACAGGCAGCCCGTACGTAAGTCGGCCCCGGTGGAGCTGGCTCGGCTTGGCTTCACGGGCGTGAGGAGGTGCAGGGAAGAGGAGGGGCTCTGTCCACAGAAGTGTGCCTCCCCCCGCAGACACACCTCAAACCCTCCGTTTGCAAATCTGACCCCTGAAGTCTCCCGCTCATGGCTGCAGAGCACTGCTGAGCCCACCTCCACCAGCAAGGAATGATGACAGCAGCCAACATTGTTAGGAGATTTTAAAAAATACACGTGTTTTTATTGATTTTAGAGAGAGAAGGCAGAGGGAGAGAGAGAGGAACATCAGTCAGCTGTCTCCTCTCTGCACCACATCCTGACTGGGAGTCGAACCTGTGACCTTTTGGTGCATGGGATACACTCAACCAACTGAGCCACACCAGCCAGGGCACGTTTGGGGAGACTTTTTGAACACTTACTGTGTGCCCGGCACTGTGCTAAGAGCTTTGGCCCATTGCCTCGCTTAAGACACAGAGCCACTCCAAGAGGTAGGTACTATTACCCCATTTTACAGATGAGGAAACTGAGTTGGAGAAGTAACCTGCTGAAGGTAACAGCTTGTGGGTGGTGGAGGGAGGACTCAGACTCGGGCGTCTGACTAGGCTGAGCACACAGCACTGTCCAGGGGACTTGCCAGGATGGAAGCCTCCTGAGATCTGCACTGTCCACTATGGCGGCACTGGCCACGTGTGGCCGTGGAGCACTGGACACGGGACTAGTGCAGCTGAGGAACTGGCTGTTAATTCTGTTTCATTCCCATTCGGATTAAATAGCCACGTGTGGCTACTCTACTGGACAGCCTCCTGCAGGCATTGGACAGCCACAGGGAGGGGGGAACAAGGATGGTGTCACAGGTGGAAATGTTTGTAGGTTCCATTTCCTGAATGCCACGTGCTACATGCTACATGTCTTGTCTCACGGTATGCTCACTGAGGCCCTGGCAGGGGCCTGGCACTGACCTATTTACAGGTGCGGAGACTGGCTAGGCCACAGAAGTGACCTGCTCCAGGCCCATGGCTAGGAAGCAGCAGATCTGAGCTTTGCACCTGGGTCTGTGTGACTCTAGAGGCCGAGCTCTTCCCCCCGACCATTATGCTGGAGTGAAAGGAGTATGTGTATGCTCCATTCCACCTGCCCCACCCCCCAATGGCTCGTGGTCTTCCTGCCACCCGGGAGGACATCTCTGGCTCTGCTCCAAGCACAGTACACAACTCCCCACTCTGCACCCGGGGTGGGGGCAACCCAAGCACCAGCCACCAGGACTCAGCCAGCCCCCACGCCCCCCGCAGCGGGGCACCTGGCTTTCCGCTCCCTGACCCTGTCTATGCAAGATGAATGAGGAGGTGCAGTGGGGGCAGCAGCACCTCTCTTCTCTCCAGTGCCTCCGAGCTGGGTCCTGGAGAAGTGGGGGCTGCTGGAGCCTGACCGGTGGGAAGGACTTGCTATATCTGAGTAACTTGTCCTAGCGAGAGTCCTCCGTGTGTGCGTGCGCGGGCACGTCCTCGCTTGCTCGCTCGCTTGCACTTACTGGGGGTGTGGGCACCGCAAAAACCCAAGCCCCAAGTCTGAGTTGGAGCAGCTAGTGGGTGACAGAGGCCGGATTAGGTATGCGAAAGCGTAACGACCCGCACAACCCGCACGCTGTGCGCCGTAGGCACCTAACAGAGACAGACACACCTCAGTGACCACCCTCAGCTAGAGACGCCACCTGCAGGACCCGGGGTTTGCAGCCGCCGGGCCCAGGCGCACGGACACACTCCACACTGTCCGCCACCTACAGCCACTCCTAAGCACCGGCCTGTGCACCTGCTTGTTCCACTAGCTGTTGCTCAGGAGCCCCTTTCTAGAAGATTCTCAGATTTCCCAGAGTCCCTTGCCCCGGGGCCAGTTTGGAGTGGGTGGGCACCCTGGCCCTGTTGGCTAGAACAGCCTGTGTGCACAGCTGAGATGCCTCCCGCTCACGGTGGCACACCACGTGTCTGTGTTCATGACAGGTGTGCCTCTACCTGGCGCGCTTCCTCAGGGCGGGCACACCTGCCCCATGTTCTCCCTGCCCAGAGGCAGAGACCTGTGCCATCTGGGGAGGAGGAGCCCCGTGGACCAGTTTGGGAGCTTACTAAGCAGGTCCAGCTGGGCAGCCATCCATTTCGTGCCAGTCTGTGTCCCTCCTGGGCAGGCCCAGGGCAATGGGCCCCTCACCAGCTGGAGCTGCCCCCTGCGTCCTCCGAGCCTGCTCTTTGGAGACTCCTCTGCCATCTGCTGTGATGCCAAGACCCAGGATCTCCTTGGCTCCCCAAGGAGAGCTGGGCCCTGATTGACGCTTTGGATGTGTGTTTTGGGGCCTGGCGGCGGCCGGAGGCACTGGCAGCCCCCAGGCTCCTATGCTGTGCCCGTGGCAGGGCAGGGTGTAGCATGGGGGTCAAATTGGAGAAGGTAGAGCAGTGCCTGGGAAGCAGGGCGCAGCCCTAACCCTGCCTCCACACCTCGGGTCCTCCCCTCCGTCTCCCTCGGGCTGCCTGCCTGGTCCCTGCTTTCTCTCCTCAGCCCCCTCTGCTCCTTCCCATTACCTTGCAGGCCTCCTCTCTGCGGTGACCTCCCGCTGACGCTGTTTCATTTACAGGTTTCTGCCTCGGACCAGCTCCGTCCTCGGACACATTCTCGTGTCTGAAACAAGGGGCTGGGTGTAGAAGGCCTGTGCCCCGGCTGCATGGGGCTCTGGGGCCCTGGGCATCGGCCATGCTGTGGGAGATGTGGGGGTGCTCATTTCCCCCTCAAGGACACGGCCCAGGCATGCTTGGCTGCAGCCCCGCCAGCTCCACCAGCGCCTGCTGCCACTTGCATGGCCCTCAGGTTGGACTTTGTGGCTCCGGGCCCCTGGCAGCTGCTAACAGGACACGTTCTTCTGTTTCAGGACAGATCACTGCGGCCAGAGGAGATTGAAGGTGAGACCCGGCCCCTTAGGGGAGAGGGTGCCTCAGCCATCCAGGAAGCTGAGGGCAGGGAGACCCCCTGACCTCCAGGGACAGGGGCTGGTAGGGCGCTGGGGTCAGAGGAGTGTACAGCCGGCAGCTCCGGCTCTGGCTGTCCACGCTCGTGGGCCCTATGTCTGCCTCTGGCTCCAGAGGCTCTGCAGTTCCCAGCCCCAACCATGTCCACCTTTCTTCCCTTCCCCAGAGCTCCGAGAGGCCTTCAGAGAATTTGACAAGGACAAAGACGGCTACATCAACTGCCGAGACCTGGGCAACTGCATGCGCACCATGGGCTACATGCCCACCGAGATGGAGCTTATCGAGCTGTCCCAGCAGATCAACATGAACCGTGAGTCCCTCCACTGGGCACTGGGCACCTCCTTCCCTCCCGTCCTCACCTCTGCAGCCCTCTGCAGTCACTCAGGCCCGGGTGCAAGTTCTGAGCCCACCTCTCTGCAGCTCTGTGGCCTGGGGGAAACCACGTACCCGTACCCGTTTCCTCCCCTGGAAAATGAGGGGTGTGGCAGGGGGAGAGAAGCTCGGGGAGTCACCGAGGGACTATAGTTAAAGCAGCCCCATACCTGGCCCGCAGCGAGTTGAACAGAGGGGTGCTGTTATCACTGTTTTCCTCTGGTCTGGGTTCTCTCAGAAGCAAGCCTGAGGCAAGAGCTTGACCGCACAGGCCATTTATTTAATAGGCGACGAATAGGGCAGTGAGACAGGGAAGAGGAAGCCAGCAAAGGGTGCATTCTCAAGCCACTGACCCGAGCCTAATTCTGTTGGGGAACTTGGGGAGTCAGTGTAGCAGCTCCCCTCAGGGCTGGCCCGTAGCCCTCACCTGGGGCACTTACCCCCCAAACTCCTGCCAGTCACTGGGGAAAGCTGTTGCTGAGCAGGCCTGTTAGCAGCTGCTTGGGGCCCGGAGTCACTTGTACCTCCTGAGAGAGCCTGTTGGAAGTTGAGCTTCCATTTGCACAAGGGTAAGGCTTGGAGCATGTGGGCCAGGCGCCCAGAATTTCTGCTTCCCTCTCTGCCTTACTGCATGTGTCTCTGTCTCTGAAATTCTTTGCCTGTCTCTGTGACCTAATGTTTCTTTCTCTCATCCGTATCTATCTCCACCCACTTCCTGATTTGTTCCCTTTGTCAACCCCTGGCCACTTCCCTGAGCCATTCTTTGACAAACTACCTGTACATAGTCGCCTCTCTGTCATCATTTGGCCTTTGGTTAAAGCTTGGACCTGGCCCTGTGCAAGTCAGGGTGGGGTTGGTAGTACCTTCCGTTGCCTGGAGGGGAATGGTTAGATGGATGACTAGCTCTTTCCTTTGTCCCCAGTGGGTGGCCAAGTGGATTTTGATGACTTTGTGGAGCTGATGGGACCTAAACTCCTGGCGGAGACGGCAGATATGATTGGTGTAAAGGAACTGCGAGATGCTTTCCGAGAGGTGAGTCATGGGCAGTGGACAGGCAGTGGGTGGCAGGCTGTTAGAAGCCCAACTCCAGCATGGCAACTTGAAAAGAACCCTGAACCCTGGGTCCCAGACCAGGAAGGGGCTTGGACAGAGAACAGTCTCTGGGGGAAAGGGGACAGTGACTCTGGAGAAGGAGCTCAACTTTGGGATCTGCTCTTGATGGTCTCCATGTTATAGCTACCTCTCCCTCCTCCTGCCCTCTCTAGTTTGACACCAATGGTGATGGGGAGATAAGCACCAGTGAGTTGCGAGAGGCCATGAGGAAACTCCTGGGTCATCAGGTGGGACACCGAGACATAGAGGAAATTATCCGAGATGTGGACCTCAATGGGGATGGCCACGTGGACTTTGAAGGTAGGTGGGCTTGAAAGTGGGAGAGAAAGGGACCATTCATGGAGCCTTCCAACTGTATATCCATCATGCAACCATCATTTCATTCCCACTTTCCATCCCCTACTCTTCCATCCTGCCATCCATGCACCACTTCAGTCTGCCTCCCATCTCTATATCCATCCATCCATCCATCCATCCATCCCATCTATTCACTTATCCATCTCTTCATCTGTCCTATTTATCCACTCATCCATCTCTAAACAAGTAACCATAGAACCATTTATCCATGCATTTATCTATCCACTCATGCCTAATTCTTCCATAATTCACCTATTCATTCATCCATGCACCCATCAACCCATGCATCTGTACTTCTCTACATTCGTTCACATATTTATATATCTTTAACCACCTGCCTATATTTCTACCCATACTTCCATTGATCTAATTGTCTGTCTAGTCATTTCCCTATCAGTAGCCATCTACTCACCCACACATCCGTTACTGTGTCCATCTTCCCCCACCCATCTCTGTCCATCTGTCTGTCCACACCCTCCATCCATGGAAAGTATTTTCTGAATGCCACACTCCTCACGATGACACTCAGGCCCCTAAGATCTGACCACAGCTCCAAACATTCCTTCACTCCCACCGCACCTACAGCTGCACCAAAGTACTCGTGGTCCATGAACCTGCTAGGTTCCTGTTTAACACACGGTTCTTTTATCAAGATGCCTTTTATTCTGTTGGTCACCTGGGCTCAATTCTATTCATCCTTCAAGACCCAGCAGTGGGACACTTTGTTCAGCCCTTCGTCCCCGATTCTCCAGATTGAACCTTTGGGACTCACAGCACCTCAGGGCCATCCTGGTCCTTCACACTGTCCTCCAAGGGCTACTATGGTCTCTCCACTTGACTCTGAACTTTTCCAGAAGAGGAACCTCCTTTCTTTATCACTGCATTTCCCACATAACTCAGTGCCTGGCTAATGCTACATGAACACTTTTTCTAAGGAATCAGTAGCAATTACAGTAATTATCATTTATTGTAAATATATGTACGAGTCACTGTTCTGATTAGCTTTACATATTTTATCTCATTTAATGCTCACAGTGACTCTATGGATTGCACTATTAGTCCCGCATGAGATGGGGAAACTGAGGCTCAGAGAAGTAATATAACTGGCTTGGGATTACCTAACTAAGAGGCAGAGCTGTGTCAAACCCAGGCCTGGGATCTCAGCCACACATAACACTGTGCATGACACCATTGGGAACACTGCGAGACGCAGGGAAAAGACAGTAAGACGCTGACTCTGTACTCCAGATACCTGAGTTCTAAGAAAGGCAGGATGAGTATGTGCCAGCCTGTAAGTGTGTCCAGAGCACAAAGTGGGGAGGCCTTTTATGGAGAGTAGTTGTCCCTCAAAGTTGGGTAGAATGTGACTAGATGGAGAGAAGGCTTTGCCACCACAAGATCCGAACATCTCCGGATGTCCTGTGTCCAGGTAAGTGCCCCTCACAGATGCCGGCCCTCCCCTGAAAGCCCAGGCCCCCCATTTATTCTACCAGCACGTATTGTACACCTCTGCGGGCTGAGACCGGACCCCCGCCCTGAGGAGCCTAAGACCAGCGAGGAAAACAGAAGCCAACAGTGTAGTTCCTGCTGTTCTGAGGGAATGTATAGCAGGCTGTGGGGACAGGGGGGCTTCCTGGAGGAGGCTGTGAATAAGCAGAGCCTAAGGAGTGAGCAGGAGCTACCAGGGGAAAAGGAGGAAGAGCTGTTTATCCAAATGCAGCCTGCACATGGACGTGTATAGCAGCTTCATTCATAACTGCCCAAACCTGGGGTAACCAAGAAGTGCTTTAGTAGATGAGTGGACTGTGGACCACCAGACAATGGAACGGTATCAGAGAGAAGAAGAAAACTTCAATGCATACTACTAAGTGGAAGAAGCCAATCTGAAAAGGCTGCATACTGTGTGATCCAACTATCACATTCTGGAAAAGGCAGAACTGGAGACAGTGAAAGACCAGTGGTCGCTGGGGGCTGTGCTGGGAGGTGGGGGGATGAGGACTGAGGATTCTTAGGGCAGGGAAACGATGGGGTACGAGACTATAACAGTGGATACGTGTCATTATACACTTGTCAAAGCCCATAGAATGGGCACCACCAAGAGTGGACCCTCCTGTGACCTGGGCTTGGGGTGGTACTGACCTGTCAATGTCGGTTCACTAATTTTAACAATTGTACCACTCTGGTGGAGCTGTTGGGAATGGGGGGGGGGGTGCCTGTGTGGAGGTCTGGAGAGTATGGGAACTCTGTGCTTTCTGCTTAATTTTGCTGTGAACCTAAAACTGCTCTAAAAGAGAAAGTCTAGTTTGAAAAAGAGAAGGGAGAGGGGACAAGTAGCAGGAAAGCTGGAAAGTGAGGAGGGAGAGGGAGCCAGCGGCACCTAAGGTGCTGGAAGGGAGAGCTGTGTGGTTGGGGCATAAGATGGGGGTGAGTGGGAGAGATGAGGCCGGAGAGGTCAGCTGGGGCCAGCACTGGGAGGGCCTGCCCTCATGCCAGTATATGGGACATTGTCCGTGGGGTCCCTGAGAGGTTTAAGAATGGGTCAGATATGCAGCTTAGAACGCCCGAGCGGCTGCTGTGTAGAAGACGACTGGAGGAGCCCGTATGGAGGTGGGGACCAGCATGGAATCAGGAGCAGGGCGATGGCGAGGGGACAGGTTGAGGGCGATTCGGAGGCCGGGTCCTGAGCTGGGCCCTGACGGCTGCTTTCTCCCCACCCTCCTGTACCCACCAGAGTTCGTCCGGATGATGTCCCGCTGAGGCCGTGAGGGCCCCTCCAGGACTGCCCAGCTCCCACAGGCCGGAGAGGAGGGGCGGAGCTCTCCTCGCTCCGCTGCTGTAGCTGCCCAGAGCCCAGGATGGACTGGTGGAGGGGGCCTGCTTGCACCCCGGGGAGGTGCCCACCCCGGACCCCCACCCTCCGCACTGTGAAAGACTCACAACTCCTGCAACTGGAAAGTGGGGCGCCCACCGACAAGGAGGCCACAGTGCCAAGCCGCAGAGGTTCTGCAAGGCGCCAAGTGCCATGTACCCAGCCGCTGCCGGCTGGACGGGCCGGGGAGCCCGCCAGCAGAGCCCACATAGCATGTCTGCCCCAGGGCACAGCCTCTGTTGCCCTCCTCAGCGCTGCGCCCCTCCCAGCTCGCCTCAGCCTTGTTATCTCAGAACCAATAAAACATTCCCCAGAGCAAGGCCGCGTGGGGTCTTTCCCTCTTGGGCCTGGTTAGTGACGTGCTTCCTGAGTACCAGCTGCACACCCGGAACGGGCGGAACCTCCCTGCAGTCAGCAGGCCCTTATTGGGTGCCACTAGGTACCCAGCCACTTCCTCACTGACCGGAAGCCAGAGCTGGCACCTTTGGCTGCAGGGAGATGGGGTGTAGTCATTTAGCTGGGTGCGCAGCTGCCACAGAATCAGGTTCTACAGCAAGTCCCCGCTCGATGGTGTCAATAGGTTCCGCTACTTTAAGTGAAACGACACATAATGATACCAGTTTACCACAGGTAGTGGGTCTAAGCAGGAGTTAATTTCCTGAGCATCTCATCAAGGACCTGCTGGGTAAGAAAAAGGATGGATATTGGGTAAGCGTCTAGAGGGGTCTGCCCACTTCCTGTCTTACTGGAGCTTTCCCACTGGTTAGGGAACAGACATAAGTAATCGTTTTGTGACGTGATTACAGATTGTGGTGCTGCCATTAAGGAAGAAGGCAGAGACCGTCAGTCAGGTATAGTCAAGGGGCCTGGGGAGGTCAGGGAGGCTTTCCACAGGAAGTGATGACAAGGATTTTGCCCTGGAGGAAATCCCAGTGTGAGTGTGAGGGGACAGGTCTGGGAACAGCTGCCACCTCTCCACGGAGCAGGAAGCAGAGGAGCAGAGGAGTTCGGCTCTGGGTTTTTTGCTGTGTGACTTTGGGCCAGGCATGTCCCCTCTCCGAACCTCAGGTCGCTGAGATGTAACGTGGGGATAATAAAGGGTAATGAAGTCCACTATAAGGGCTCTCAGGGCGTAGCACTGCACACCTCCAGGGGCCGCTGTTGACATACCGCAGTGGAATTGTGCCACCCAACAATATTAATCCGTTAGCACCGTTGTAATTAATGCGGGTGAGTGAAGGGTGGGAGGAGCCCGAAGGAGAAGCCTGTGGGTAAAGCTGCCTGGAGTCTTAGGTGTGGGGCATAATCAGGCCGGGGTATGGTCGGACTCAGGTACCCCAGCCAGTGGTTCTCAAACTTCAGTGTGTTAAGAGTCACCTGGAGGGTTTGTCAAGCCACGGATCTGGCCCTCCTCTGGTGCTTGTGACTCAGTGTTAGAATTGGGGTCCATGAATGCGCGTCTCTAACAAGCTCCCGGGGGATGCGGATGCTGCCCAGGCTGTGGACCACAATTTAAATAATTTACACATCCCAGGCTGGCGGGGGAGGGGGGGGTGCTGAGGGCTAACGGCTGGAAGTGGGAGGCGGTGGACAACCCCGGGCCCACAGGTTGCGGCTCAGGGACGGTCCTTGTTCTGAGACCTGGCAGGGAATGTGGGCCCCTGCCAGAGGCCTGGGTAATCCCCGTGTCCCTGTGGGCAGCAGGCTGGGAGCTCCACAGTCACTGCTAATCCAGTCCCGAGACTCAGCCTCGGCTCCGTGCTCTGCAGCAGCCTGCGGCACTGCCTGCTCCCTGCCCACTTCCCTCTGCCCAGAGACCCAGATCTACGGTGTCAGAAATGCAGTGTTTTGGAGGGCTGCTGTGGGCTTCTCTGTTAGCTGACAGATGAGCCCCTGCGGGCACCGTAGGAGGAGTAGAGCCAGGGCGTAGGGGCTGACCCTCCTGTCCCTGGTATGGCCTTTTGGGAAAAAGAAATGGACATGGTGCCTTTGACCTAATGACTCGGCAATACAGCCAGGCCACTGTTGAGAGGGACCCTCCTGCTCAGGACAAGGGGGCCCGGAGGGGGCGGCCTCTGCCTCCTCCAGTGCTGAATCTAGAACTCCTTGCCTCGAGCGTGTCTTATATTTGGGGGGGAGGGCGGGCAGCAAGATTGCTGACCGAAAGGGCTCTGCTGCTTTCCGAGACTGGGACTCAGTGTCCTAGAAGGATTTTTTTTTTTTTTAATCCTCACCCAAGGATGTGTTAGAGAGAGAGAGAGATGGAGATGTGAGAGAGAAATCGGTTGCCTCCCATCTGCAGACTGACTGGGGATTGAACCCCAAACCTAGGTGTGTTAGGTGTGTGTCCTGATGGAATGAAACCTGCAGCAGG